ATATTCTTAAAATATCTTGTTAAATCTATCGCACTGAAAATTGAAAGAAAATTATTTTGATATTTTTTTATTTTTGCGGTATTATGCGGTAAAATGACTATACATTAGCAATTTATTCAAAAATTTTAATAGAAATGATATCATGAACCCAAATTATTTATATTATATATATTTATACATTTCTTTAGTTGGACTAAAAACAAAATCGTGTATATTTAATTAACTAAAAACTTAGTCGGTTAATTTTAGTTAACTAAAAAGTTAGTCGACTAATTTTAGTTAGACTAAAAAGTTAGTCGGGTAGTTTTAGTTAGCTAAAAAGTTAGTCGGGTAATTTTAGTTAACTTGAAAGTTAGCCGGGTAATTTAAGTTAACTAAAAAGTTAGTCGGGTAATTTTAGTTAACTTGAAAGTTAGTCGGGTAATTTAAGTTAACTAAAAAGTTAGTCGGGTAATTTTAGTTAACTAAAAAATTAGTCGACTAATTTTAGTTAAGCAAAAACTTAGTCGACTAATTTTAGTTATGGTTTTTTTAGTTTAGCAAGTTACAATTTTTAGTTTTGGTCACAACACTAAAAATGCTACATTATGAGACAGGCCTACAGAAATAACGTACCTGTAGAGAGTCCACATGAATATTATACACGGGCCTTAATTGCACCTTTTCTCGACACTATCATTTCAGAAATCAAAATACAATTCCAAAAGACAAATTACATTGCTGCTAAGGTTTTATGCTTGGTTCCCTCGATAATTTGCAGTGAGGAGATAACTGCTTTTCAGGAGTTAGTTGAAATGTATAAAAGTGATCTTCCAAACTCATAAGCTGTAGATCAAGAATTCATGTTTTGGAAAAAAAAATGGTTTGTTATTAAACCCGAGGACAGACCTAAACTTTAGCTAAAGCCATTAAAATCTGCAATGAAAATCAATATCCTAATCTCTTTGAGCTTCTACAGATCGGATGTACACTACCCGTAAAGTCCGCAGAATGTGAACACAGCTTTTCTGCAATGCGAAGATTAAGAACATGGTTGAGGGCCAGTATGACTACAGATAGACTTGGTTCATTAGCCATCATGAATATCCATTACAATGAAATTGTTGATTATAAATAAGTCTCAAAATTATTTTTTTACTTTACACCCTAGAAAATTGAATGAAAAAAGTTTAGTTTTTGAATAAATAGTTATACCATTTATCAAAGTATTATTATTTTATGTATCGATACCCATTTTCTAACAAGAAGCTTGCTAATACGCCTTTGCAGTATAAAAATAGAAAAAATATTTAGAGAACAATAAATTCGTTTATGTAAACATTGGTTACACAAATATAGCTATGTTTCACGAAAAAAATAAATATATTTTTATATATTTTAATATATATGTATATATATATATATATATATATATATATATATATATATATATATATATATATATATGTATATATATATATATATATATATATATATATATATATATATATATATATATATATATATATATATATATATATATATATATATATATATATATATATATATATATATATATTTAATATAGATATACAATATATATATATATTTTTAACCAAATGCATTCCTCAATTAATTCTGTCCTGTTTTTTACTATTTTATTTTCATTTCTTTTACATACTTTAATAATGTAGAAATATTCCCTTTGTGCACTTCATCATCGATATATATATATATATATATATATATATATATATATATATATATATATATATATATATATATATATATATATATATATATATATATATATATATATATATATATATATATATACAATATCTATACCAACATAAGGTTGATAGTCAAATACTTATACAACAAAGTCTATATTTCTTTTTTTCAAATTTAGAAAATTTGTTAATTATATCATCAATGGATATAATAATATGCCTGTGAACATGCAGCAAAGCCAAACCCATTAATCGATTTTGGCCTATTTGCAATCTTAACAATGTTTTTAATCTACAAAAATATGTTTTAGGCCAATTTATATTTTATAGCATCAATAATTTTATTTGAATTTGATACAGTTTCTTTTTTTAGTACAAACCATCGTCGGTTGTAAGTTCATTAAACACATTCATTGATGTACTTACAATAGGTGGTTGACTATTCTGATCTTTAATTGCTTGCAGACACTGAGATAGATCAGAATTTGATAGTTTTTCGATATCGACATTTACTCGATATTGACATTTACATTTGATTTACTCGAATTCGGAGAAATACCATTAGTAATTTCATTTTTCGGGCGTTTGCTCAGCCATTTTGATAATAAACTTTGTGTAGCATTGTGTTTACTCATATTAACATTATTAGTTAAGCTTTTATTAAAACTAAATACATATAAACTCAAAACAATATACAAAATACAATAAAGTTTTGTAATAAATAATAATATAATTTACATTTAGTCATTATCACTACATACTTTATATCATGGCACAAATACTTAGTATAATTGTTAATTGGTAAAAAAAAAAAGTTAATTGGTAGTACCACAGGTTATATTATAGTAGCTATGTTCACTCGGGATGTAAACTAAAACCACAGTTATACGGTTCTGTAGTAATACTTACTACCGTATTATACGGTATAGAAAATTATCTTCTATACCGAGCAAGAACTATGAATATTATCACCACGACAAAATCAGTGTAACCACAGTGCAGGCATAAAATTCTTATTAAATATAATATCATAACAATTTACGATCTTTATCAAACGGACACTTTTTTAAATAAATTATTAATTAATGTATTATTTAGAAAAAAGTACGAACTATAAGGGAAAAGCTATGAGAGAAATCCAGTCTCTACCTCATGGATTTAATTCACGTCTTCTTCTTGTAAAAGCTTATTTTCCCAAATAAACTTTATAAGTTTTAAGTCCACATTAGTTTTCATATCTTTTAAAGTAAATAATAACACAACAACTGATTGAAATAACTTAATTCTTGTTAAAAATCAATAAGTGAATAAATTTCCTTGCAAAACATACAAACATGTTTTTTGCTGCGTAAAAAAGTATGCGCGCGCATGTTTTTTTGAGAACGAGAATGTGTAAACATTTGCAGCTCATATCTGATAATATTAATACGCTAATTTAATAGTAGTTAATAGTCGACTTACGTCATTTTTTAGGCTTTTCTATTTTTAAAGTAGTTTCTAGGCTTTTCTGTACGCGGTTCTTTTAATTATTTTATTTACTAACAACCCGTATTACGGGTTGCTTACTGCTAGTATACATTAAAAGGCGCAGAGTTGACGACATCGGGGAAGGAGGGAGGAAGGGGGACTGCCCCCCTTCCTTTTTTTTACTTACTTTCTTTTTTGTCCCCATCTTTTTGATAGGTTATTCCACAATAGAATAATTGTTCCTGTATGAAGTTTGGGTATGTTGCATACTTCCATAACTTCATTTTCATCATCTTCTGGCAGAGCTTATGCAAGAATCAATGGCGGAGGTATATTTGATTCCACGGGGTTAGGGGAGGGTGGCATTTCTTATTAAAAAACGGCTAAAATAAACCATCGTTTTAATCACACATGAATCAAATACACCTCCGCGGAATCAATCACTTCTGCCAGAAGTGATTGATTCTTGCAATTATAAAATTCTTTTAAAGATGTGTCAGAATTACATCCTTGCTTCAAAGCAAGATTTGTTGTCTTATTGATCCAAAGGTTTGTTATCTCCTGCAGAATAAATCCAATCTACACAATCTGTACTCTAATTACAGAAGCAACAAGGATACTTTGAACTATGGTTTTGAAGTCCTAAAATAAAGTTAAGCATTTTCAAATCCGCGCAAAGTGTTATCTAAATATTTCCAAAGTAAATACTTTTGAAGAAGACAGCACAGTTTTCAAAACTCTCCTGATTATTTGGGACTATTCTTAAGAGTAATGTCTGATCAACGGATGCTTCTTTTTTCAGGTTCGGACAAATGTCCTCGGAATAGTTTGATCTATTGGTGATATCATCGCTGAAATAACTTGCCATATTAACAGTAACAATTCCAAACTTGAAGAAACATCTACCGCCATCAATATTAAAAGCATTTTTTTTTTCAAACATTTGATGGATTTTCCGTCCAGGTGAGTTCCTCCACATCTTTAACAAAAACAACGGGTCGCACAATTAAAGTCCCAGTTTCCGATTTATAGAAATCAAGGTCTACTGCTGAGAAGTAATCCACTAAAGACCCATTGTTATATGCCGTGAATTCTTTAAACCCAGCTTTTATTGATTTTTGTCTGTGCTCAATCCATATTGCTTTTGATATTGCATCCATATCAGAACCAGATAATTTTTTCTATCAACCTTGATGGTCATCAAATCTTTGTGACTCCATTCTGTAGTAGGCTTCATAAATCTCATTGAAACTGTTTTTATGTTCTTATTGAAATGGTCGGCTTTCTGTTTTAAGGAATACAATTTTAAATAAAAAAAGTGCTACTGTGAAATGTGGTTACTTTATACTGTGGAGTAACTTTGGACAAAACATTGAGTAAAAACTCTTTCTGCTTGAAAGAGTTTTACTCAAATTTTTCGTCCAAAGTAACCCCACTGTCCAAAGTAACTACATTTCACGGTATATCAATTTCAACAAAAAGAGTATTCAATCCAATAACTATCTGTATTTTTTTAAATATAAATATAGTTTTAAGGCACATTTTCAAAATTACATTATCCAATGGCTAATTGTTATTTTAGTTTGTGGACCTAACTAGCAATTATTAAGTAATTTATCTTTTAAGATAAATTATATAATCCTAATAATATTAGGATTATATTAGTAATAAAAGTTGTCAGATGAGATTTTAAAGAAAATGGCTTTACTTTTCCATTTTTACATGTAACTACGATTTTTACTTTTTATTTGTCAAGTAATTTTTTCTGTTTTTTAAATTTATAACAATCTAAAATTTCACACTACCCATCTTGCTTTTATT